CGTGCAACAAATGCAATCCTACATCTATCACGCCAGGACCAACGCCACGTAAGTTTGTATAAAAAATTGGATTACACAGTATACTTAATGGCTGATAGCATGCCTTTTATGATTACCTCAGGAAATAAGGACGAGGTGTATTGGCCAATCAAAAAGACTAATCCACTTACATCGTACTTTCGGACTTTTGAACCCAACTAAATCGCTATATCTGAATTAAGAGCTGGAAACGTATAAACCTTTGTAAGTCATCGGCATGGTACCCGTAAGAAAGCAAGTCGCAAATTTCTGGGCTGTTGGAGTTAAAATAATTTTGAAAAGTTATCGCCACCTTATTTAAGCGCCTCATCGAGGGGTCAATTCTCAGCTACATTTTCTCGCGTAACTCAAGCAGAGCCTGCTCTTTGTTTAAGAAAATTTGACTGCGTTCATCCACAAAATATTCACTTTCTGAATGAGTTTTCTTAAATTCAATGGAGGATTTAGTACGCCCAAGACCACATCCGAGATGAGCAAAATAGATAGTTTTCATCTAAATAAAAACTTCATTTTGCTGGATAAGTTGTCGAGTCTCGCAACCGATATGGATTCAGCAGCTCCGCCATGCCAGGACTTTGTCCATCCAAGAACAGGCGTTTCGGATTGTCCTCAACGTAAACATTTATGCGAAAACCCTACCTACCGCCAACTAATGGCTGAGCAGTGCCCGTTGACGTGCAATAAATGCAATCCTACTCCCAATCCTATCCCGACAGGAGCAACGCCATGTAAGTTAATAGTAAAAAAATGGATTGATCAGTAGTCTCAACAGCTTCGATATATTCTATTTACCTTTATGATCAGAAGAAAAGATTATTTGTCTATCTACCAAAATTTCTAGTTTGAGTGATGTTTTCGGCCCTTTACAGATATAATAATTTAATGCGAGGGTACCACCATGAAGTAGGTGAAATAAAAGAAGCCTGTAATTCACATTATTTTGATTTTGTTCTATATGAAATTCAAAAATACCAACGCTCGCTTAC